CCGGCCACATGACCACGGAGACGTCTTCGGACAGCGCTGGCTCTTCGGCTTTGAAACGGAGATGAGCACCGCCCCCTAGAGTCAGGAGCAAGCTTTAGTTTGTGGGAAAGAACTAGGGGAGACATGGTAGCATCTTCCAATATTTGCTCCAAAGAATAGGGAGTCAAGCTATTCTCCAAAGCATCAGAAGACAAGAAGGAATGGATGGGATCTCATCAAGGAGAGAAGCAAGCTAGAACTAAGGAGGGATTTTGTGACAGGACAATGGCGGTAAATTGGCGGAACAACTTGCCTCTGGAAGTTGTGGGTGCTTCAACACTGGAAGTCTTTAAGAAGAGATTAGACAACCATTTGTCTGAAGTGATGTAGGGTTTCCTGCCTGAGCAGGGGGTTGGACTAGAAGACCTCCAAGGTCCCTTACAGCTCTGTTATTCTGAAATAGTTAAATGTGGCCTCCAGGATCACAAGAACAGCTTTAGATCAGAGGTCTCCAACTGTGGCAGCTTTAAGCCTGGCGGACTTCAACTCCCAGAATTCCCCTTTGGGGAATTCTGGGAGTTGAAGTCCGCCAGGCTTAAAGCTGCCACAGTTGGAGACCCCTGCTTTAAACTGCAGCCGATGTCTCTTAAAGCTAAGAAAAGAGACATTGCCCTCCCAAGTTTACGTTCTATTGCAATATTTGTCATCCGGTGTTGGGAACCGAGTGTGTCCTTATTTATTCTCGACCAAAACCTTGGTTTGCTCCTTTCCATCTTGGCAGCCTGGCTGTCGGCAACCGACCGTCGCATCGTGATGGCTGCAGAATCCCTTCTGCGATATTTAAGGCACCTGTTCCTTCACTCCGCTGAGGGGATGAAGGATCCCAGGGCCAAGGGAAGGCTCCTTTGGAACCCAGCCGGGGTTCCCTGGGCATCCTCTGCCAGAGAGAAGAAAGAAAGAGATTCTGCCAGCCTTGGCAAGTTTATGATTTGCGGACTTCATGCTGGCTTGGTGTTGTGACCTGTTAGTGCCCAGCAGAGCGGGCCATAGATTCGGACGGTGAGGAGGCTGGGGAGGAAGATGGGCCAGTCCTGGAGTCTGGGGAAGGCTCTGATGAGGGCTCTGTGTTGGAGGCAGAGAGGGGGCCAGAGCCGTCCGACAGATATCAGCTGCNCCTCATTTCACCCACCTCGGAAGGATGGAAGGCTGAGTCAACCCTGAGCCGGTGAGATTTGAACAGCCGAACTGCAGAACTGCAGTCAGCTGAAAATGAACCTTTGGCGGTTGGCCCGTGATGTCAAGGCGGCCTCCGCGCGTGGCCACGCTTGATTTAACTGACCAGCAGGGCGAGCCAAAGTTGATCCATCATCCTCGGCAGCTACTCAGGACGATCGATCGTGCTTCATTAATCTCCGCTTCCGCCAGGTCAGTTCGGAGGGCAGGAAGTGAGAGGTGGCCCGACTTGAGAGCAGCTCTTCATGCTTTCCAACCGGATAGAGCTATTCCCGCCACCACACCGGTGGTTGAAGATGACACCAAGAGAGGGAGAGAAAGGGGGGAAAATATATATATATATTTATCTAATTGTGGATGGAGAAACGACCACGTTGAAAAGGCTGGGACTGGACAGCCGGATTCTTTCATCTGCCGGAAGAATAAATCCCAGGATTAAGAAGAAATGAAACATGGATTTATGCCGGATCTGTTTCTCAGTCGCTTTGAAGCCTTACAGCGTGAAATCTCCTGGCATTATATTAATAGAAGACAAATGGTATCCTTTCCTTTCCCCTCTCTTTTTCTTTCCTCCCTCCCTCCCTCCCGCCCCTTCCTTTCTCTTTTTCCTTCCTTCCTAGTCCTTCTCTTCTCCTTTCCTCTTTTTTCCTCCTTCCTATTTCCTCCTTCCTCTCCTTTCCTTTCTCTTCCTTCCCTTCCTTTTCCTCCCTTCTTTTCCCCCCTTCCTTTCCCTCCTTTCCTTTCCTTCTTTTCCTTTCCTTTCTCTTCCTCCCCTCCTTCCCTTTCCCGTGCCCCCACCCCAAATTGTTTGAAGGTTTCCTTGTCTAAGAAAAGAAACCGTGGAGCCAAGCAAAACAAATTTTCTGCTCATGATTCTACTGTATGGTGGTGAAATTTGCCTTCCACCGTCCAAAAGCTTTTCATCACCACTTGTTGTTCCTTTTCAGGATGTTTTAGGTTTAGAATTTATTTTTAACTTCTCTGGTGTATTTTCTTTTTCTTTTTCAAGTCTATCATGTGCCTCGAGCTCCCGAAGGTTGATCTTGTTTCCTTTTGTGTGCTGTTCTACCAGACTGGAGGATTTCTAGATATTTGCACCTCGTAATCTGAAAATGTCCCGTAGAGTAAAACTTGTGTATACTTGGGGTGGAATTTTGACTTTTTTCTTCAAGGAGAGGGCCCATATGAAGGATCTGCAGCCCCATACCTCTCTTTTTTGGTGGGGGAGAGGCCCCTTTATATCATATTTTTTAGGAAAGAAGCTCGGGAACCTGTATAATTGCCTTTGGCAGTCACACTAAACCTTGAGCCAAGCAGTGAGATAGCAATAGCAATAGCAGTTAGACTTATATACCACTTCATAGGGCTTTCAGCCCTCTCT